CCGATCGAGTGAGCCTGGGCAAGTGTCACCCGGCCACCCTGAGAAGGGGAAATGGTTTCCACCTACTTCAGAGCCCTGTTATTGGAAACAATGGGATTACAAAGGTAAACTGATTAGCTCAATTCTTGACATGTAGAAGGTCCCCAGTAATCGGTGGCGATTTTTTAGCAGTGAGGTTTCCAGACAAAATAGAGACAGGTGATTTTCTCACACGAGTTTCAATGAAAAAGAATTCTACTTTGCTTGAAAAATGATAATAGATAAAACATTCCAGGATCCTTTCCCCTGTTTTAATGAATCAAGGATATACCAAATTCAATTTTTTTCCAGAAACGATCCCAAAGGACTAGTAAACTTGATTTATGCTTTCTTTAGCAGTCACTTTTATTCCAAAAGCCTGACATTTCTATTAAAATGCTATTAAGTAAAAACAGGATTTTTACAGTATTTGTGATGGCTTGGGTCTCGGTGTGATAATTGCAATTATCTCCAGCAAAGATGCCATCCCTCATCCTTTTATTTCCTCTTATATATCAGCTGCATCTTTAGCACTTCCAGGTGAAGGAAATCACTTCCCTCAGAAGCTGTGGTTCTGAGGTCTGTGAAGGGACACTGGTGTCTGGGAGGGCAGCCATCGGAGGTACAGAAGCCTTGGAGGATGAGGGACAGGTGCATGCTGGGCAGCAATAGACAGAAGTCTCGGGAAGAGGGCATCCTCATCCTCTAGGGTGACCTGAGGAAGATGTGTCTAGTCTGGGTGGAGCTGATGAGGTCCCCATCATCATGGCAGTCCAATCTAAGACAGCCACCTGGACTATGTGCTGTTTTAAACAACCTGCTACTACATAGCCCCAATCCTGTCTACCTAGGTTAAAATTTCTTCTCTGATTTCTGTTGTGAAATGTTCTAGAACTAGATGGCAGTGATAAAACCTCATGAAAGATCTAAAACCACTGAACTGTACACTTTAAAATGGTTTAAATGGTGGCTTTTATGTATGTTTCACACAAGAACAAAAAAAAATCTTTCTGGATAGAATGTTTCCAAAGCCACCTGCAGTTAACACACCGCAACATCTGTGTTTGGGAGAGGAGCCACCTCATCCAGGGAGGAGGCCGAACCCGGGGTTCTGTTCGGGCAGATGACAAATCATGCGGCCATTAGATCTCTAACTGAGGAGGAATATCAAAGAAAATAGATAGATGATAGATAGATAGATAGATTGATAGATAGATAGATAGATAGATAGATAGATGATAGATAGATAGATAGATAGATAGATAGATAGATAGATAGATAGATAGATAAGTAGGTAGGTAGGTAGGTAGATGAGATTAAAGGCAATTGGTATTTTTAATGTTTTTAAAAATTAAACAATAGTATTTAGAATTTTGTGTCCCAGTGTGAACCATGATGTGCTTTAGAATAAGGTTATAGGAAAGCAAGGGTGCTAGAGAACTGTTTGGAGAACTGCTTTATAATCGTGGTTTATTCAGAGATATCATGCTGTGCTCGACCTCAGTCTCCCCATCTGGAACAGGGCTGTAGTCGCAGGCTCCTCCACAGAGGTGCGTGGAGAGCAGATGAGATGACCCCCTGGAGGCGGGCTTGTTGATGGAGTGGTCCCCTGAGCTGCCTCCATCCCTCCATGCCTTCATTCTGCACACCGCCCAGTCCCCCTTAATGAAATTTCCTGAGTGCTTATAATGTCAGCCACTACCACTTATTCAGAAATTTAGGAGCTAATTTCTGGTAAGAGTGTCAGTTTACCTGCCGCCCCCATTTTTCTTCCTACAACTGACATGGGGAAAATACTTCATTTCATGTGAAAAATAACCACCTGGCTTTTATTTACTGTCTGAAGTTCAAGGTGATGGGGACAAAGCCGTTTCTGCTGAAGGAAAAATTGCATGTCCTAGAGAATCCTCACCTCTCCTGAGGAACTGGTCTGCACGTGCGCAGGAGGGAGTGTTCTGCAACCCAGACCCTCCATGCCATTGAACACTGAAAGAGATTTTCCTTCGTGATGCCTGGTTCTGTTCCCCTGCCAGTCTTTGCTTTGAGTCCAAAGTTAGGATCCACTTGAAAGAAACTGTGACTAGGCCTTCTGGAACTTTCTACTCATGTCTTCCCTGGAAGTTGGCTCCTTGGGCTGGTATGAGAAGGGGACCACTTGGGCAAAGCTTTCCAACACAATGTTTGTCTCTCAAGTTTCTTTCCCATTCCCAGGGACTTATGGGATAAGAAACATCATGGCTTTGAGACTCTTCCTGTCCATTTAAGTCATTATTAGAAGCAAACTTTCCCAATGTCTTAGTCAGGGTTCTATTGCTACAAAGAGACACCATGACCACTCCAACTCTTTTTTTTTTTTTTTTTTTTTTTTGGTTTTTTTTGAGACAGGGTTTCTCTGTGTAGCTTTGCGCCTTTCCTGGAGCTCACTTGGTAGCCTAGGCTGGCCTCGAACTCACAGAGATCCGCCTGCCTCTGCCTCCCGAGTGCTGGGATTAAAGGCGTGCGCCACCACGCCCGGCTCACTCCAACTCTTATACAGGAAAACATTTAATTGCGGCTGGCTTACACTTCAGAGGTTTAGTCCATTATCATCATGGTGGGGTGGGGGGAAGCATGGCGACACACAGGCAGACATGGTGCTGGAGGAGATGCTGAGAGTTCCATATCCAGATCAGCAGGCAGCAGAAGAGAGAGAGAGAGAGAGAGAGAGAGAGAGAGAGAGAGAGAGAGAGAGAGAGAGAGAGCGAGCCACTGGGCCTGGTGTGGGCTTCTGAAACATCAAAACCCACCCCGAGTGATGCACCTCCTCCAACAAGGCCACACCTCCTAATAGTGCCACCCACCCCCTGTGGGCTTATGGGGCCGTTTTCATTCAAACCTCCGTGGTTCTGGGTTTGCCGTTCCCATTCTCCATTCTGGCACCTGAGTGGCTTTCATTTTATTTATTTTCAGTTTTGAGACAAGGTCTCACTATGTACCTCTGGCTGGCCCTAAACTTACAATGTAGCCCAGGCTGCCCTAGAATTTACAATTCTCCTGTTGCTTTCTCCCAAGTGCTGGGATTATGGGCATATGCCAACATGCTTAGCCCTGTGGCAACCAGCGCACCTGACTGGCCTACTTCCTCTCCAGCCTTGTCTGAGATACCCGCCTCCTCACAAGGGCCTCATCCTGCCATCTGTGCTTTTTCCCAGACCTCCTTGTTTCCAGCTCCTCACTGGCAGGGCTCCCTTCTCCTCCAGGCCTTGAGTGTCACCCTCCACACTGCTGTCCTTTGGTCTGGCCCGGCGCCTGAGTCCACGCCCCTGAGTTCCCAACTCCTCATTCAATGCTTCTCTCTCCTTCAAACTCCACCCTTTCTTGACTCCTGTCCCACCCAGACCAGGTCCACAGAAAACCACCGCCACCTGCTGTCATCATGCTAAGACCAAGTCCTGAACACTGCACATGGTTAATAAGTCCCATCTAAGCCAAAACAGATGTGTTCAACACATATCTCAGGGTGTTAAACTCAGTATTGGCTTCTTGTAATTCTTCTCTTTAAACAGCCTCATGTCAACGTTCCCACTTCCAGCAGTCCCCACTAGACCATCATGGTGTCCCTGTCCCTGCTTCTCCCTGGCCCTGGCTGTGTGGTGCATTTCTATACTACACTACCTCCACCCCAAGATGTCTCTTTGGCCACACCAATGACATTCTTTCATATCCCATTCTGTTCCTTGGACACGTCTCTCTGTTCCCCACATACTTCAGTGAGTCACAGGTCAGCCAGCCCCTCAGTGTTCTGTGAGCCACATCCCAGCCAACTCATGTCTAAGGATGTGGTGTGTATTAGGCTCCTGGGAGCAGAGAATGGGAGGCAACTTTCATTAAATTTGTTGCATTGTATGGTGGTTTGAGTTAAAATGACCCCCATAGGTGGAGATATGGACTTGTTGGAGGAAGTGGATTTTGATGTTTCAGAAGCCCACACCAGGCCCAGTGGCTCTCTCTCTCTCTCTCTCTCTCTCTCTCTCTCTCTCTCTCTCTCTCTTCTGCTGCCTGCTGATCTGGATGCAGGACTCTCAGCTCCTCCTCCAGCACCATGTCTGCCTGTGTGTCGTCATGCTTCCTCCCACCCCCCACCATGACAATAATGGACTAAACCTCTGAAGTGTAAGCCAGCACCAATTAAATGTTTTCCTGTATAAAGGTTGCTGTGGTCGTGGAGTCTCTTCCAGCATGGGAGAACCCTGGCCTGTGAGAGCTGACTTGGGGACTATAGTGATCAAGCATTGACTGTGGAGACAGAGGAAGAGTTGGCATTTATTCTGATTTTTCCCCCCTGGGGAACTGGCAGACATCTGGTAGTGAAATACCAAGGAGATAGGACAGACTCTGGGTGGGGGAAGGGCTGTGTCATGCTGGAGGCAAGAAGAAACTGAGACCATTTCCAGCTAGAGGTAGATAGATAAATCATTTCCTTGATTATCAGAATAATTTCAGAATAAAACACACAAAACTTGTCATTTTCTGTATGAGCTCCGAATAAACAGTTAAGACAGGAAATTGTCCGTGTTCCTAGGGCTGGGAATGGAAGAGTCTCTGCAAGTTGTTCACTGAACTGCGCCCGTGGCTTCTTGCCAACCCTCAGTGAGATTTTTTTCCCATTTCTTAATTATTCAATTACTACCCATAAGTAGGAGTTTGAAATCAAATCCAGACTGCTCTCAATGGAGTAGTCTCTTGAATCGTGAGCAGAGGCAAAGCCGGGCTGGCAGGATGGAGGGAACCTGTGTTTCCAGTCCTGGCTCTGCCCTGGGTTTAAGCCTTGACTTCACCATACAGAAGCTGTGTGAGCCTGAACAGGCCACTTCCCAGAGGTCAGTTTTCTAGTCTACAAAATAGAAACTGTATAACACCAATCCCCTGGAGCTACTGTACATCTCAAGGGAAGGAAGCCGTTGGAGGAAGGCAGCGTGTCATGAGTGCCTTGTGTATTTCAGGTCTCAGCATCCTGAAAAGCCTGTCACTGGGAAGGAAGATCTGGACTGTGAGATGACCGGTGACCCCGACTCCAACCCTGAAGCCCACCTGCCCTCGATTTGCCTCAAACAGGTGTTCCCCAAGTATGCCAAGCAGTTCAACTACCTGCGCCTGGTAGACAGGATGGCTAATTTGTTTATCCGGTTCCTGGGAATCAAGGGGACAATGAAGTTGGGACCGACTGGCTTTCGGACCTTCATAAGGTTAGTGAGATCAGCTTCCTTTCTTGAGCTTTGGAGAGGGTGGAGTCTGGTCACTCAGCTGAATGCCATGTGGCCCTTGACTGCTCTTAGGAGACCATAGTATTGAACTGGTACCCTATTTGAAGCTGTATTCACCTCAGGGCTGGCACTGATCCTGACATAATGTAGACTCTTGTCAAATGAGTTAATGAATGCTCTGCTCATGACATTTAAATTGTAGGTTCATTATTAAAACAAGCAATTACGGGGCTGAGGGAGGTAATTCATAGTAATGCTCTTGATACTTAAGAATGAGGACCTGAGTTCAAATCCCTGGCACCCACATGAAAGCCAGGCATGGTAGCATGCAATAGTAATTCCAGCACCAGGAATGGTGGACAGGGCAAGATAAGAGCTTGCTGGCAAGTCATTCTAGAAAAGAAGAAAACTCCAGGTTCAGTGAAGAGCCTGTCTCAAAATATAAGGTGGATTATAGTAGAGGAAGACACTCAAAACCTACCTCTGGTCTCCATACACACACGTGTAGGTGTTTGCACCCATCCACACACATGCACACACATGCACACACCCCCAAAAGAATTGTGAACTACACAGTAGACATTTTTATTGTTGTTATGACAGGATACCTGAAGCTGGATAACCTTATTTAAAAAAAATGGCTTCACTCAGCTCACAGTAGTTTAAGTTAGCGGCACTGTTAGATAGGTCTTTGTTAAGAGTCTGATGGCAGATGATATCACAGGGGAGGCATGTTCAGGAGAAAGATCATGTCCAGAGATGATCAGAGCAAATTGGAGTTAGGCTCATTCTTATAACAATTCAGGGTCCCACTTGTATTCTCCAGGGCTCATGCCCAATGACCTAAAGACCTTGACAAGCTCTGCCTCCTAAATATGCCACCCCTGAGTAACAGCACTCTGAGGTCCATGACTCCACACATGAACCCTCAGGGGATATCCTCGTTAGTGTCGTCACTTGGAGGGAAGTCTGAATCAGACTGGCCTGTAGGCATGTCTGTGTGGGTGTCTGAAGTATTAACCTGCACAGGGGGGCCCATTACACTGGGGATGCCGTCTCGAGGCAGGCAGTCCTAGGTTGTATAAGAAAGCTAGCTGAGCAGCAATCTGTGAGCCAGCCAGCCAGCAAACCAAGTAGCAGCGTTCCTCCATGTTTTCTGCTTCAAGTACCTCCTTGAGTTTCTGCCCTGACTTCCCTCAAAGATGGACCACTACCTGGAAGTATAAGCCAAACAAATCCTTTCTCCTGCTAAGCTGCTTCTGGTCCAAGTGTTTCTTCAGAGAAACAGAGTGAGACTGGAATAGGGGACTTCCTCAACCAGATTCCAACTGCGGACTCTGACCTTGAACCAGGTCTGTCAACACTTAGTAGTGATTGCTCGTGGGTGTCCGACCAGCCTGTGTTTAACGTGCATTCTCCCAGTGGAGCAGCCTGGCTGAGGCTGAGTTCACAAAGGCATGTCATTCCACACTGAATTTCTGGAGTGAAAAGTTTAATAATTAGTCTGATAAATCATATAGTACAGTTGTTCTAATATTAAAATAGCATGCTTATAGTGTGTGCTATACAAAACTTGCATGAGTTTTAAAGGTAAAACATAAACTAGGAGAGAGGTTTTTCTGTAGCCTACAAAGTAAACAGTTGTCTCTTACTGTCCATCTTTGAGGGTTCATTCATTGCCTCCTCCCTTTGGAACACTTTAGGGGCAACACAGGTGAGTTCATGACTACCCTGGACCTGGAGGTCTTAGCCTATAGAGTGGAATGCAGCCACACAGGCCATAGGGGTATGTGTGTGTGCGCGCATGTGTGTGCGAGTGTGTGTGTGTGCACATGTGTGTGTGTGCGTGTGTGCATGTGTGTGTGTGCATGCATGTGTGTGTGTGCATATGTGTGTGTTATGTATAGAATTAATCAGGACCACAGGGAAACACCTAGTATATGGTAAGTGATTAATAAATGTTAGTTACTTTCTGCAATGGTTAAAGAATGCCACAAAATTTTACATATATTTCTATAAATTCAAACACACACAGAGGAGGGGGAGGGAGAGAGAGGAGGGGGGAGGGAGGGAGGGAGGGAGAGGGCCAGCGAGCGCCGGGGCCTGCACAGGTCTGATACGACCCAGGCAGCCATGCGGAGCAGATGACCCTAGATCTCTTCAGCAAACGTGATCTGGACAGCAGGGAGCTGCTCAATTGCAGTTCTCTGTGGCACAGCCACCTCAGAAGGAAGTCTCTGACGGCCCTCGGCCCTGCTGTCACCTCTTGTTTTAACACCCTACCCTGCACCTCAAAGCCACACTCCACTAAAGCAAATAATTGGGCACCGTGAGTTGGAAGCCACATTTTGCTAAAGGCTTCTCCAGATGCAGTTTATGGAGACTGCTACCAACCTTCCAGTCTTGGTAAGATGGTAAACCCATGTCTAGGTGGCCACTGTTGCCAGCCACTTTAGCAAACCTGAAGTCCTAGGATGGCTTGAGAAGGGCATTGCTTTAGTTTCAGAGGGCAGGGGAGGCGTTGGGCAGAAGGAAGGACATAGGCTTTGGGGTCGAATAGGTCTTGCTCTAGGACCAAGCTTATTGGTCATTGGCTGCATGGCTTTGGCAAATCTTCCGTTAGCCTGTAGTCCTACTTCCCTGTGTGAGCAGTAATCCTGCCTGGTGTGGTGTTGTGAGTGTGGGGTATGGTGGACCTAAGCACCTGGCCCAGGGCTTGGATTGAGGGAGCCGCTTTGACTCTTGTTAGGACTGTAGTCGACACTCAGCATTGCATGGTGTCTGCAGGTGGCTTGGAACAAAAAAGCCACCAGGGCCTTCTATGGACGGTGAGCAGCTCCACAGTGTCATCCAGTCCCACCTCCTTTCAGGTCACCCACACTAAACGTGGTCTGATGGTTCCAAGGTTGCCTTATGGTCACAGGATGGTTGCTCAAAATCCAGCCACCATGGCGGAGCACTAGACCGAGAGGAGGAGGGGGAGGTAGCACAGTCTCCACCCTGCCGATGAACTGGACCCTCAGAGGCTGCTCTGGGCGCCGATGAACTGGACCCTCAGA